GGATGCTGTTTTCTACGAGTTTACCGGTATAATGAACCAGGGGTTTTCGACCAATCACAACGAACGTACTATCTAACAATGGTGATCTTTTCACGCGGTAAGATTTTCACGTGTGGGTTGAAAATGTTTACGTGAAGAGCATTTATCAAAAAGGCAATGATACGCAGCGGTTATGATATTATTTTTAGGTCTCAGTCAGCTTGCAACAAAACCTTTATTCATGTTGCTTAATCAAGCACGGTCGCTTATATAGCGAAGTTATTCATGGGTCATTCTTACAAGTTCCGTTCCACGTTTATGGCATCAACTAAACTACATTTGAAATAAACGTGACTTTTAGCCATTGTTGCTCAGGTGAATATAAAGTCTTAAGGAAAACTTGGGGTTATCAGTACAGTCTGCATTCAGCCCTGGTGCAGTCGACACAGTAGACTCGACTTGTTACGTGTTTTGGTATCTAAAGGTGAGGAAAAATATTTAATTCTGCTTAATTTTTTTCCAATTGCCTACAATTAATTATCGAGTTTGGAACTGATTTTGAGATATTAGATCTTAGTCCCTCAAGGGGTGCGGTCTTTTTATTCATTAAAACCCTGAATTCGAACCATCTAAAATTCTGTGTTGCAAAGTGCAAATTGCTACTTGTCAAAGAGTTATGAAGGATATAGTTTGCAATAATTAAATTTCGCTTGCCCTTAATTATATGCCACCTGTGAGATTCAACATAGAATCGATCTATTGTAGTTTCCATATACTTTTCCTCTGGACAGCAGACCCTGACGATTTTTCATAGCTCATTCATAAAACCGGGCATTTGATAGAGCATTTTGAGGGGTAAGCAACCACAACAAACGTCAAAACCAGAAAATACTGCATAATACTCTAATAACAATCCCAAAAGAAATCTCTAAATACCACATAAAGCGGTAATTCAAAATTACTCACCGCGCGAAACCAATTTACTATGAGGAAAGTTGCTATTGTTTCTTTTGTAGATTTGCTTCTCTAGCGAAATTGCAAAGTCTGATCGCTGAAACTAATCTAGTAAGCTGCTGTGGTATCTGTTTACCAATTGTTTTCCTTTTTGCTAGTTTTAAAGAGATCTAAACATCCCTTAGGCGAATGTGTATATTTGCATCAATAACTGTATTCAGTCAATGGCTAAGGCCGCTATTCTACCAGTACGTAAATAAACCTCTACTTGCGCCCTCATCATTTGGAAAAAGATAACGGGACTCTCAGGTTGATCTTCATTCCTGATTATGATTAAGAACTGACCGAGCGTGGCGCGTTTTTGTAGAATACCTTTTAAAAAATGACGTTATTTTTAGTAAATCAATTCTGATCATCACTGTCTTCGAGCCTGGGGTCTCATTTTGAGGCTAAAGTACCTTACCGTCTCATTTTCTGTCGTGTATGCGCAGGATTCCACACGCGATTCCCAAGAATTATGGCGAGTATACTATAGCCAATTTCGTCAAGCGTGCGTCCATTCCGAAATGCTTCAATTCCTTTTTTTCTAACACAGCAAATATACAGATTTAGCCAGGGCTAAAAGCGAGGCTCCATTAATATATTTATAATTTGAATCAAACAATAAACTTGTATTCCACAGTTCAGTTTAGAGCACATAGCACATTCATGTGACTTTTGAGGGAAAGGCTAAATGGTTTTAGAGAAAAATAATTTGCAAACAGCCTAAGAGTGAACAAAGTCGTACATGGAGTTGATAGCCTCATATGTACTCCCAAAAAAATAGCAATCATCTTCGATCACATTTAAGAGCCATGATGGCTCTTGATCACCGTAAGATTAATTAGGCCTGGAAAAAAAAAATCAGGCCGAACTTTTTTGCTTTCGACAAGTTTACTTTACAAAATCTTGCCAACAAATCTGGGTGCGTGTAAACCAACCTTTTATACCATTTATACATCACACCTGAGGTGAAACAGTACTATGAGGTACTGTTTTTATCATACAGACCTTGGACAGAATGCAGTATTTCACAATTTTTCAACACAAATTGCCCTCGTTCAATATTCAGGACGTTGGAAGCACGCGTTGGCTTTTAGCTAAACTGTTGAAAAGTTAAAAAAATTTCCAAAATCACATATACGGCCACCCAGTTCTCACTTCTGAAGTGCGAGCTGCAGCGTAGTGTAGTGTTTGAACGAACACACTAGAGTTAAGCTACAACATAATAAAGAAATTATTATGTTTATTTTTCATTTATGTTTTAAGCCGGCTTCCCGGTATTTACTTTTTTCAAAGATGAACTCGAGGCAAGAAAATCGCTCAAAGCTTTCTTTTACAGCCAGAATTATAACTAAACGTTCTTTGGAACGTTTTCTTTCTATTTGCGGTGAGAAAATGTCTAAAGGCTTTTTAAAGTTCTGTATAGCATAAACCTGATTCTTGGCCAGATCAAATTGTCTCAAATCTTACAAACGTGCATAAACTACATAGCCGCATAAACTACGCTCGACTTTACTAAATTAGATCTAAAAAACAAACATCAAACACAATAATTACTGAGGCTTACGATTACCATTCGAGATGCAGCTCCCGAAAGGTATCAAGTAAGGCCAGTATCGTTTCAGACTTTTCAACCCTTACGCATCAAGCAAGGTGAAAGACGAAAACGATGCCATCCGAAATCGGATTTCCGACTTTAACAAGTGATGTATTAATTTCTGAACCAAAAACCAACTAGCCATGAAAAACAGAAGACTCCTTATAGCAGCTGAATTTCATTTTGTGCATGAGTGGAAAAAGACAGTTAGAAACATCACAAGTTGACTCAAAACTCTGTCAGCTTCAGCTTTCAAAGTAAACAAGATTCAAGATGCTGCATAAATTTTCCCCATGAACTCACCTGTCAAATTGTGACCAATCAGAGCATAAAAATTGGACGTAGAGCGTGACCAACGCGTAACCATGGTGAGCAAAGTCAAAAGCAACTGTCTTCCCTGCCTGTAATAGCTGGCTGAATTTTCGCGTCCAAGGTCAGTTTTAAATCAAGATTTTAATTGTGCGGAACAAAAACAAAACATCTTTCATATGAAGTAAAAAAACAAACAAACTTGAGCCTGCGATCATTTGAAAACCAGTAACTTGTCAGCGGATAACTTCAAAAATATACTTGACCTCAATGGGTCAACACCTGAGCCCGCGATACGGACAAGTGATAATGATCAGCGGATGCCCTGTTTTGACAGCTGTCAATTGATCGCAACATTGATGTCCAATGGATGTGTGCATTAACAGTTTTCCTGTGCTCTCAAACTAGCTAGAAAAGTATAAGATTGAACATTGATCGCGATCTAGTAAAGCAACTGGTCAGCGGACAGCTTCCAAATAAATCACGTCACCTTGATATGCCCTCGATATGGCAATGTGATACTGGTCAGTGGCTATCCTGTTTTGACGGCTGTCAATTGACCATATTGTGAATGGCCAATATAAAAGATGTGGATTTGCAAAGACAAGCCTGAGACACATCTCTTCCTTTTGATAGTCTCCCCTACCCTACCTACTAATATGTAGACGCGTACGTACGTACGTACGCTCGGTCAGTCATGTGACAACCAAACGAAAAGAGGTTGACCATATTCTATGAATATGGGGCTCTGTCCCACGCGCGCTTCGCGCACGAGGGAGCCCCGCTAAAATAAATGACTAGAATATGCGAAAATTCGGCTGCGCCTTGAGCAACTCTTGCGCCTCTTTCGTGCTCCCCAAACTTCACGTACGCCTGCTTGATATCTCTACATACGCTCGCTGATCAAGCATTAGCCAATTGCTAATTGACGTAAATAGCTGCGGATGCAGGTGTTTGAAAAATAAGTTGCTGGAGTATCATGAAAGTAAAAATGTTCTACAGCCTTCTTAAGCCCGGCGCTCACAAGTGACGTAAGCACAAGCATAAGCATATAACCATAACGCGAGCATTACCATAGAGCATAATTAACAATTAATGAATGAGGTTATCCGTCCAGGCCGTAGGGCTAGCCGAATACACCCTCCCAGATCTTCATATGATACGAAAGCCGAATTCAATAATTGTTTTATTATTCATTCAAAATAATTCCTAGTTTAAAAACAAAGCTAAAACATGCTTACCTCCATCAATGTTAAATTCTCCTTCGATAGTGCACGTTTAGGGTTGTTCAGCTCCGCAAATATTCTCCAAATAGCCGACGTAGCCCTTCGAGTTGTGTTCTTGCTGTTCTTGTCATGTTTTTAGCTATAATTTCGCCTAGTTCTTACTCTTGAAGCGAGTAAAATGTCTGCCATTTTTTGTTTTCACAACAAAACAACTCAACCTCGTCCCCAGGTCTTCTCGATTAATGGTGCAAGAACGCTGCATTTTTGACGTCATTTCCTCGTTTAACACAAATTCTTCCAAATTTTGTCATCAGTAACCGGTTATGGTGAATTAAACGTGTGGTTTTAGCCAATCAGAATCTGGAAAATATTTTGAATGAATAATAAGAAGCTTTAATGCACAAGTGAGGCGCCTCATTTAAGGGAATCCAGATTCCGTAATTCGAGAAATTCTTGCTTGAGAAATTTGGAATCCGGGAAATTTTGAATTATGACAAATCCCATGCCCCCTGGGTACAACGATAAGAACCAGTGTTCCCTTTAACACACAAATGTACGAATTTTACCCACAAAAACCAGCAATTTGCTTTGCTTAGACCCTCATTTAAAATTTGTATTATTCCAGTGCAATTGGCTCCACTTGACCAAATAGTTTTGCCTTTCGCCTTTCTATCTGAGCTCCAAGCGTTGTAAACAGGCATGTCGACGAAACTTGGTTAATTCAAGCCTTTAATCTCGTGCGATAAGGGCGCGGAGTGAACGCCTCGAACAACATCCGGGAATCGTCAATAGGGTATACCGTTGACCAGCAAAACCCGTGGGTCTAGCCCCTGGGGTACAATCTCAACTTTTACATGAACCACTCCTATGATCTTTCTTCACAGGATTTTAATATGAAGAGTTTACGGAAGTTGTACCATGGATGCACCGAAGGGACAGATGTAGAGACTCGAACGCCATTTATCCAACGCTTTGCCTGTGGAGTAGGTCATGTGATCAATGACATTATGCGTCAGCTCCAATTTTCATTCAGGCTGGTATTCTTTATGCAAGTTCTCGGTCTGTCCGCTGAAAATGCTGGCTGGCTGGTACTCCAGAAAAAACTGGCTCTCGCTTTTGCCTCGCCTTTCAGCGCATTCCTGGTGGATAGAATCAACATCCCATTTTTGTCGCGGAAAATTGGAAGAAGAAAGTCTTGGCATTTGGTCGGCACTTTGTTGGGCGTCATTTTTATGCCCATGTTTTTTAGCGCATGTTACGCTTGTCCGGACAATGGTGGAGAGTGGCAAAAAATCGTAAACCTTTCAATACTTAATGTGATATTGGCGCTTTCAGCCTGCTTACTGGATATTGGACACTTGACACTTATACCTGTGATTGCCAAAGATCAAATTGAAGCTGTAGAATTGAGCGCGTTGAGGTTTGTTCTCCGCCCTCCTTATATTCAATGTTCTAACCGCCTATATACAGAACTTTCACCTGGATAACTCAAACCTGTTCAGTTTAGTTTACACATTTGCATTTGTAGGCTCACCCAAGAAATCCATTGTGTCTTCTTTCTTGCAATCAACAGCCAACACTGAAATGACTTCACGGCCCTTGAGATTACTTATTGGACAATACGGGTAACATTTATATCATTTTATTTTGTTCCTGTAGGGTCACCTTTACGTTCTTAAGTGGAATTGCTACCTACCTCGTGGCTTGGGTAGTTCTTGGACAAGATTCCAGAGACAACCTCTCAACAGAAAGCTTGGTGGACTTCACGGTGAAATAATTCATTCCATTTTGCTTTTATCTCTTACAAAACGTCATTAATTAGTGCTCCTTTAACCACCGTACGGCTTTTCAATTAACTTGAATTCTTTCCTTTTTAGACAATGGCGGCAATATTGGTTGCAATGGGTCTCATATTTTCAGTGATTTTCCATGTTGGAACTAAAGAGTTCTCAGGGGAAGGAAACAAGGACTCGTGGGGCATCGTCACAGAAGATCTGGTAAGATGCTTCTAACATGGAAAGCTAGTGAAGACATCGTTTACTTTGCAAAATGCCTTTACAACTTTTAATCTCTGCCTATTGCGTATTATGCTAATTTATTCTTCGAATGTTCAGTTTTCTTTTATCTTTCTTGAACAGAAAAAAACGTCTCATATTCCTCCAATGACTGCTCTGCAAGCAACACCCTTAAAAGAAACAGGTATACTCAGGGCTTTAAGATACAGATTAATTGAAAGTAATTAGAATGAGAGGCACGCAATTTGCCATTTCCAAATATTCAGAAATACTTGGTTTCATATAATAGCTGGATTCTTCCACTTTACGGTCAGACGAAAACCATATGTTTCCTGCAATTGCTACTTCGTCACCTGAATACGATCCTGCTGGTTTCCTTCAATTTTTAAATCTCCTTTTTGTGTAAAGCTGGGAGTAAGTGGGAAGAAGGTGTCGGGGGGCGTTGGCGTGGGTACAGCAAACAGAGTGCAGGTGATGTGGTACATCAGTGAAGCTACACGAAAACTCCAACACCATCCACTTACAGGAAAGGGCTGCTTAGTGTCTTTTCTCCCTTTTTTCTCCCTTTTTTCAGTTGATTCTAAAAGTGTTAAAGATATGGATGGCGTCACCGGCACCGTACCAAATGATCGTAACGGTAACGGAGACGAAACCGAGGAAAAATGCCGCCAAAACGATTTCCAATCTGGTTCTCCATTGTCCTCTGGCGTGGATAACCCAGGTTTCCTTGACTCCTGTGAAACAGAATCGGGAAGATGTTATCCAGACCAGGTTAAACTAGAACCAGTAGAAGTGAATTTGAATGACTCTCAGAGTGTAGGGGTGAATTGCAAACCATCCACTAACTCTGATGACCCAGAATCTCCTCGTTCATCAACATCTGCACCCACCATGACCTTACGAACCTGGCTGAAAAACCCGCATCTTTACAAGGTATTTCTCCTTTGACTAATCCTGATACGATCAATAGAGTCCCACTAACTATTTCGTCAAGAACAATGCACTCAAACAGCTAACACTAATTTCCTGATTACAATTTCGAATTCGTACAGTCCAAGTGAAAAATTGCTTTAGCGGGCTGTTTTTTTTTAGATGACTTTGTACTTACCTTTGCTGTATCGTCAAAAAACATGGGTGCTTACCATTTACACAAAACTGGGGGTGGAGCTGTTGTGCATAAAATTAAAACTATAACATTTGACCAGGTGGGAAAACGTTCCACTACAAAGTATATCCAAATGAGCTGAACAGACTGAAAAGATTTGAAAACTTGCATCGCCTCAAATCAAAGCCCATATTTCCTTAAGCTTCCCAAACGAAACGGCGCAAAACATTTGAAATGCAACCGTAATTTCTATTTTATGCATGTAAATGGGAAGTTACCTTTGTGTTACAGTCCTCACCAACATTACAACTTTTTACAATTTTTCTAAATTCCATTGTTATTATCTTTAGGTGTCCATCATCTTTACCTGAACATTTGTTTTGCGAAGCATCTCTTACTCGTACTTGCCATTGTTTCTAACTTACAGAGCTCATTTCGCAAAGGTATAAAAATGTATTTAAATATTATACATATGCATACAAAAGAGTTTAATTTAACTAAGTTAAACACATTTTTTTTGGAACAGTCTTCCCGTAAGCATTAGATCTGCTTGTACCAAAAGTGATATTAAACAGAAACTGAAAACATTTTTATTCAACAAGGCATTTAGTTAGTACAATTAGTTTATATTTAGATTTTTTATATATTTTTTTCTGCAAATTTCTTTTCCTATAGCTAATTGTAAATAGTGTAGTTTTCGTCTTTGATTCCATAGTGATTGTAAATAGGTTCTTACTTTTGTATTTATCTTAATGTTTGTGATGCACATTTGGTTATTTTTATGCAAAATGCGCAATACAAATATTAAATATTATATTATTATTATTACTATTATTATTATTATCATTATTATCAGTTAATATTATAAATACATTTTTGAAAGTTTTTTTCTGCTTAATTTTCCTTTTCCCACTTTTAAATTAAGGGTTTTTTATTTGTAAACGATACGATGATAGTTTAAAATTGTAAATATTACTTACTGTTCTGATGTTTAAATAAAGATTTTTCAGTTATTATTATTATTATCATTATTATTATTATTACTACTACCAACAATGCAGTGCGTAAGAAAGAAAAATATCTGAACTTGATCAACGAAATGAGTAGAAATTACAGATGTATGAGATTTGTAAATCTCTCCATGAGTTCCCTTGGCATTTTCTCCGATGAATGCTCCACGTTCTTAGACATGATGAATGACATTGGCATTGACAAAAAGCAGCAACGTTATATAATCAAGAAAATGATAAATAGAGCAACATATTATATCTTTTGTTGTAGAAATAGGAACTGGGATAGCCCAGACTTAATGCAATTTTGATATGTTTTTTTTCTGGATTTTGTTTTGTTTGTTTTTTTTTTGTCTTGTTTTTTTTTTTTTTTTTTTATAAATAATCCAATCTCAAGCAGCCAATTGTTAATTGCCTATACGTAGCGAGATTTACAATTGTACATTCAAAAACACAAATAAAGTTTCCATTATTATTATCTATTCGCAACCATAAATCCTCTGCTAGTGTGCAATATTTGAATTGCTTTCGGAAAATGAAAAATTGAGCCCGGAAATTTTGGTGCGAATAGCAAAATGCACTAGCCTAGAACATTAATCTAAAAACGAAAATTTTAACTACACGTTTACTTTATTAGGAGTCCATTGCATATCTACCACTTATTATGTTAAGCAGTGGAGCACTATCATCCGCTATTTCAAAGAGAATTGTTGTCAAAATTGGAGGCAAGGTAAGGAATTGCATTCATCAGAAAATGAATGAAATTATCCGCTCCGTTAGGTTACATTTTATAGTTTATATAGTTCCGTCAATCTTTGCAAGGATAACAAAAACGGTTTGTCAAGACAATTTAACTTTTGATGGCCAATTCATCCCATTCAACCCACGAAGATCTAGGTCGTGTAAGTCTTCTGCTGTCTTCGCAACAGTATTTTTGTTTGTTCCACCACTTGCTCTTCAAATTGAGCTTATTCACGATACCCGCCATCTTTGTTCGCGCTTTCAAGTCCTTAAAAGGACTGCTGGGATAAAAGTAATGTCACGTGGTTTTTCAGGGGGTAAACAAACAAAAAATTTACCAGTGCAAGACCTTTTTTAGCAAATTATAGGTGGGAGTGGTTTTGTTGTTTTTTGGATGCAGTAGGACCGTAGATGTCCTCGAGGCAAATTAAAAATACTGACACAAATCTTGTAGAAACACAACCTCTACATTTTGCAAGACTTATTACTATTTTTGCTCACATGGCGTGCTTACAGGGCAAATATCGCCTGTAAAATATGTCTAAATAGATAATAAACTAGGTATACCTATCGATAGAGTGCCAACGAGCAAATCATGCGTATTTTGCTTAGGAATAAAATTCCTTTTTTTTCCCATTTGACCGTTTCTTGGTCCCTTCCTGTTGCAAGGATTATTTTCTTGAAAAGTTCTCAGATTCAGTGGCTTTACAAACCTGCTATGTAAAAGTGTGAAGTGCCTTGAAATAATAAAGTCAGTTTTGCAGAGGAAGCGATCGGGAATATTATTAAGTCCAGCTACAAATCTACTGTCGGTTCGGTTTCACATTGTTGATAAATATTTGCACAGTTTAATCATTTAGACCTCCTTTCAAATTTCCCGAGGCTTTTTGTTATCAGATTGAAACTTAGAATGATTCGCTGGGCCCACAGGGTCCAGAGGAGTTTCGTGTGAATAAATGAATTACTTACCTTGAAAAATGTCTATACCTGTCGCTTAGCACGATTAATTAGCCCAATGGGATCTTTATAAATCTACTGTAAACGATTTCTTCGCTTCTTATCTGACCCAGATCGACTTTTGAAAATCAATAACCGCAAGCCATATCCTGCGGTCTATAGAATGTGTAACGAAACCGTAACGCGATCAAAATAACCCATTTTTCAGAGGTTTTCGACGGGTTTTGATGTTCTAACGACAAACACATCTCCTCTGGACCCTATGAGGACATGCGATGTACGGCACGTCGGTACTTAATTTTAGTTCATTATTTTTATACTGAACTCGGCCACGTTTCGAAAAAAATGGCGTTGTTTTCTTTTCCTTTGTCGTTCGCTTTAGGCTTGTAATTCGTTTTTGTTCTCATTGTTTTTGTTTGCTGGTTAGATTTTTTCCCCAACACCAGATTTTACAACAGAAGCGACTGCATTCTTCGTGTCAAGCTTTCCTTATCTCCTCGTGTAATCTGATCCTTTTTAGTGGTGAGAATATTGCTTGCTGCACATAGAACACTGTTTTACAAACTTCTCTTTGTTAAAACTTACCATTATGGCCCCTAAAATTAATAGAATATATCAAGTGCTCATGTCTCTTGACTGCGGTGGCCGGGTTTGACGAAAACATTTAGGTAAATAAACACAGGAAGTCACGACGGCGGGAAGTGTGTGAAATTTTGTTTGTTATTCAACTTGAGCCCGTGCGCCTGGTACTGCCTTTTGATTGGTTCACAACTGACCACTTGGTCTCAGGGGAATCTACATTACATTAGGTTACACTTTTTTCAGCTCGATCGAGAATTTTCCTGCCTATTGCCCAGTCTTGCGCGGCCCTATTCTGCTGCCGCCTCGCCATCCGAGCGTCTTCGCTCGGATGGCTCGTTGTCAATAAATAAATATCATCAAAATTGATACTAAACCGATCTAACTTTTCTAACCTCACAATCAATGATCATTTTCACTTACTTTTAGTGGACGTTTATCCTGTCTGCCCTTCTCGTTATTGGAGCTGGTATTTGGTTTTATTTCATAAGTGAGTCTAACAGAGTGATGACTTACCCAGCTGTCGTACTGTTAGGTATGGGATTCTCGTCCATGTCCGTTAATTCACTGGCCTTCGCAACGCAGCTTATTGGTCCAAATAACGTGAGTAATTAATTGGCAAGGCACTTATAATTGTTAAGTCAACAATGTATTTAGGAAGTCTTACATTCACGTTCTCTGCAGTAGAAGAGAGTGGTTATCGGAACCAAACAGTGGATTAGTCGTCTAAATTACCGGTAAAGGGCAGTTTCTTTAGTTGTTTTGAAAGCCCGACTGAGTATGAATAACAATTAATCTTCCCTTTACATTACACAACGGAAACTTAACAAAAGCCTCTCTGGTTCGGGGTCTTTCGGCAGTATATAAATTTTCTTTCAACATCGGACGTTGTCCCAACAATTTAAGTTAAATTCATAAAGACATCGAAAAAGATTCGAGTTATCGGGCGGGAGTATGGCAAAAAAAAACAGTTTTCACTGCACGGTGAGCATTGTAATCACATTTAAGATCTCAGTAGAGGAAAACGAGGTGCGCCACAGAAAAAAAATTCTAGTCGCCCGAGTATTTTCACTACAAAGGCAAGTTATATATCAAATTAAAGGTAAAAGACTAAATTACCTTATAAAAGATTTCATTTCATCGAATTTCAAAAGGCGCTTAAGTTTTTTGCTCTCGAACTCAGAGGTATCGAGTTTACTGCTGAAGTTCCAGCCCTTTGGCGTCGTTAAATATTCACTTCCTTTTTATTGCATCTGATTGACAGATAAAGACCTAAAAAAGGGTGTGAGGAAATTTGCATATGTCTCGTATTAGCGGAATTATTGCATTTCAAACTAAAAAGTCGAATCTCGAGCATGATTTACGCAAAGAAACTGACATAAAATGAGTTACAAAGGGAAATCGGAAAATTCCTCACACCTTTTTTAGGTCTTTTATCTGTCAATCAGATGCAATGAAAAGAAAGTTAATATTTAACAACGCGAAAGGGCTGGAACTTCAGCAGTAAACTCGATACCTCTGAGTTCGAGAGCAAAAAACTTAAGCGCCTTTTGAAATTCGATGAAATAAAATCTTTTATAAGGTAATTTAGTCTTTTAGCTTTAATTTGATATATAACTTGCCTTTGCAGCGAAAATACTTGCGCGACTAGAATTTTTTTCTGTCGGCACCTCGTTTTCTTTTACCGAGACCTTAATAATGTAGAAATGTTGAGAGAAAATTGAAAGATACTTTTAGATTATAAATCAGAACGTAAAGTAACAAAACGTTGCCTACATAGAACATGCATTTTACTTTTTGAGAAGTAAAGCTATTTCACGTTAGATTTGTGACAAACAACATCAGCCTCCATTATCGATAAATATGCCTACAACACGTCAATGGGAAATTCAAAATTCAATGTCTCTGAGTGCAGGCGTTTTCTTTTAGCGCGCAATTTGCTCGCGAAAGCGCCATGTTGCTACCGTAAGGGTTACTATTTCTACTCTCCCCAATCTTCCACCGTCATAAAATCAAAGATGGCGGCTACAACAATGTCACGAACAAGGTTTCGCCCACCCCGCGCCTGCACTGCAGGCTATGTT